CAACAAGAAGGGAGGGTAGGAAAAAAAGTTGTGATTTTTTCTCCCAACTGAATGTACAGTATTACTTTTCACTTATTTTGAGACAGGGTCTTATTACATAGCCCAGGCTGGCCCTGGACTCACAGCGATCCTCCTGCCTCAGCCTCCTGAATGCCGGGATTACAGGTGTGCACCACCAAACCCAGCTCACTTTTCACTTTTAAAAACAATTGAGAGCTGCCTGTTATCCCAGCAGTATTCTGGAGGCTGAGTCAGGAGGATCTCTGACAGTTCAAGGCCAGCCTGAACTACATAGTGAGATCCTGTTTCAAGGAAACAAAAACAAATCACAGGAATAAAAACAAAGCAACAAAAATAGGAAGGTGCTCCACATATGGATCAGAAATGGCAGGAAGGGGAAATATAAGGGAAGATGTGGCTCTCCCGTTAGCAGAAGGTGGAAGCAATGAATTTTCTTCCTAATTTCTCTTTCTGTTTTCTCATTTATCAGTGCTGGGGAATTGAGCCCTGAGACTCACTCATACTAGACAAGGGCTCTACTACTGAGCTACACCGAAGCCCTTTTCTGTTCCTCTTTGGGATTTCTCCTTCTAGCTCCCTCTCGTTGCCTGTTTCTGGCTTATTCATCCACATCTCTTTCTCTTCACCCCACAATCCTCCTAAGCCCATATCTCTGTGCTTAAAGAGGAAAAGCTGATCAATGAAACACACACTGACTAAAGGAGAAAACATTAGAATTGCCACCACACCCAGGACACTGGAAAAGTGGGCCTTGGCGTTAGATGTTCCGATGTAATTAGAAGGCCACTGAGCTGAGTGTGGTAGCACACACCTGTGATCCCAGCCCTCAGGAGGCTGAGGCGGGAGAATCACCTTGACTTTGAGGTCAGCCTGGGCTACATAATGACTTTGAGGCTACCCTGGACTACATGGTGAGAACCTGCTTCAAAAAACCGATAGATAGATAGATAAGTAAATAAATAAAATAACTAGATCAGGGGGCAATGGAAGAAAACACAATAAAATTTATTTTAAAAATAATAAGTAGAATGCAGCTTTAAAATAAAGCAAGACCTCTACCTCTGGGCCTGATAGGGTGCACTTTTAGTCCCTGTTACCCAGGAGGGCGAGGCAAGGGATTACCTGAGCCCAGGAGTTCAACATCAGCCTGAACAACAGCAAGAGCCAGTCTCAGGAAAAAAGAAAAGTAAAGGTATATTTATACATAAATGTGAATATAAGCAGGGGCAGCTCAAGTAAGTATCTTTAGTGTAACTCTCTGCAGGGACGGGTCATGGATGTAGGATGCGCTCAGTCCCAAGCCTGAGGCACTGAAACTTCTCTCAAATCCACTCTTCTGGCCCCATGTCCTCAGCTCCAACCCTGTTTCCTGCTTTCAGGTGTTTACGTACTTACGCAGGTTCAGGTGCCCTTGAACTTCACCCTACCCCTTCTTACAACTCGGAGCCTTCCTAAGCTGCTGTTTTGCATGGAAACCACTGGGATAAGAGCAGTTAAGAGCCACACTGTCTCAGATCTAATCTGGCCTGAACCATCCCGACCATGAGTCACGTGACACTGGACTTTATTTTGGTTCTTGGAATGGAACACAGGTCCTCACACTCAACTGTTATCTCCAGCCTTTTTTTCAATTTCAATAAATTCCCCAGGCCAGGCTTGAATTTTCTGTCCTCCTGCCTCAGCCTTTCAGAGCGCTGGGATTATAGGAGTGCACTGCCATACTTGGTTTATAACCTCAAAATACCTCATTTACCACAAGTACAAAATGGGAATACCACTGTCTGCCTCACAAAGTTGCTATGAAGATTATGCAAGTTACAAAGCAGTCAGTGCCTCGCACATGAGAAATACTTGATACTGGGTCGGGGATTTAGCTCAGTAGTTCTGGCGCCTGCCTCACAATCGCAAGGGCCCAAGTTCGAACCCTGATACCAAAAATAAATAAACAAATAAATAGTTGCTATTTACCAAACAGGGAACTCCTACTAGGCCGATTTCCAGCCTAGCCCCAGCTCATTCTCTCAGGGAGACGATCACTCCTGCCTTTGTATCTCCATGATCTCTGTCTATTACAGTCCTTCTCCTGTATTTTCTTCCTATGTGCATGCTTGTCTGCTCCATGAAATCTCACAGGTCACAAAGGGTAGGGACCATTTTAATCCATCTTTGCAGCGTCAGCACCCGAACACGGCATTTTCCTCGGGGAACAACTTTCCAGGAACTCAGTTTAGCCGCTCTCCAACTTCGGAAACTTAGGTTACCTGTGCTCCCTGTAAGAGTCTGACTGAACTAGAGCGACTCCATGTTTATCAGCAAACGACCTAGAGACTGTCGCTCCCCCCATCCCTTATAGGATAACTAATGATTAATTGTGAATTGTTAGGTAACTGCTTGAAGTAGCTGGGCAACTAAATGGAAACTGTACTGAACACAGAGACCCAACATAAATCACTCCACTCCTTGCTTGCCTGTAGTTGAATGTTCTGAACATTATAATCTAAGTTGTAAATGGAATAATGGATAATCGATCTGCTGATCATTAGTACGACACGGTCGAGTATATGCTTGATGACCACTAGCTCAGATCAACTGATTCTTTGCAGTTGTCCTCCTCCTGCAAGTTTATAGTGTAACCCCCCCTTAGCCCTATATAAAATGGCCTCTGATTCTGAGCTAGCTGCCTCTCTGAGCTACTTGGCTTCGGGAGTGCCATCTGGCCAGACTAATAAAAGTCTATTTGCCAACTTGCCTGGTGTGTTCCTTCCTGGGTGACTCTCACTGTCCCACAAGCTCCTGGAGCCTCGCTGAGCTTCTGAGCCCAGCATCGTAGAAGCCTCTTGGCTGTTCACGCTCCAGGAGTAAAAGTGAGACTTAACTCTTACACTCCACAGACATGCTGAGGAGCTGCACGACTCTGCCCCCGAGCAAAGGCTTCCCACTCTCTCTCTGTCATGCTCTTGATAAGTCTGTTTATTCTATGGTACCCATATTTGTCACTCAACATCCCAGAGGTAGAAGCAGAGAATGTTGGGTGGTGCAAGCCTGCAACCCCAGTGACTTGGAAGCCTGAGGAAAGCATTGCCAATTCAAAGCCAGGCAGGGCAATTTAAACAGACTTTCTCAACCTAAAACAAAAAGAAGCCAGCCATGTGGCCCATGCCCGTAATCCCAGCATGCAGAAGGCTGAAGCAGAAGGAAAAACGTAAATTCAAGGCCAATCTGGACTACACAGGGACACCTTGTCTCCGAACAAAAACAAAAACAAAAACAAACAACAAAAAAAGATGGAACATTTTTTTAAAAACCAAGAGGTATTCCTAGGTCTCTTTTTCGGTGAAGTTGTCTTTGCTTCCTCCATCCCTTCCAAGTGAGAATATTTCTGTTATACCCTTCTGGTAATGTTCTCTCTCCTGTAATATTGAGGATCAGTCCAGAAATTGTATCCAGAAGCATTTCACTGCTGAGCTACATCCCCCAGCCCTTCTGAGTCTCACAAAGTTGCCCATGCTGTCCTGGAACTTGTGATCCTCATGCTTCATTCAGCCTCTCAAATAGCTGGGATTACAGGCATGGAACACCTTTCCTGTCCCTCTGGTATTTCCAAAAACCTATTTTTCTTAATCGTTTCTCATTAACGTCCTTTCTCTCCATTCCACAGATCTTTAAGAACCAAATGAGTCGCCAGGCATGATGGAACATGCGTATATTCCAGTACTTGGGAGGCAGAGGCAGGAAGACTGCAGCCTAAGACTAGCCTGATCTACACAGTGAGCTCAAGGCCAGTCTGCAATGTATAACATGTTGGCCCCATCCCCAAAAAAAAAGTGTGGAGGTCAGCCTACACTACACAGCAAAAACAAAGCCCCCGTGGATAAAAGTATGCAAGGTATAAAATCACCTAGTGCTCCCCTCGGTTTTTACTTTGTTTGTTTTTTGAGACAAGGTCTTGCTATGCAGTGCAGACTGGCCTTGAACTCACGATGTAGCATAGACAGGCCTCCAATGTGTGGTGATCCTCCTGCCTCAGCCTCCTGACAGCCAAGATTTTAGGCATGGGTCATCACACAGTCCTTGACATATCACCCAGTTCCTTAAAACCTGATTTGTAGAGCCTTATCCATAAAGAATCTTATTCAGGGCCAGGGATTTGGCTCAGTGGTGCCAAGATCTGCCTCAAAAGCACAAGGTCCCGAGTTTGATCTCTGGTATCCCCCAAAATGAGTCGTATTCAGTAAATTTGGGCCTAACATTACTCTTCACAGTTGGTAGGCAGCCAGTAGTGAAAATCTATCTACCAGATTTTAAAAACATGCTATATCCATTCCCAGCTCCTTGGGAGGCTAAGGGAAGAGGACTGCAAGTTTGAGGCCAGCCTGGGGGAACTTAACAAGTGTCTGTCTCAAAAGGACTGAGGAGCCTGCCTTTCGAGGTCCTGAGTTTGAATCGTGGTACCAAAAAAAAGAAAAATACAGAGGACATAGCTCAGTGGTAGAATGCAGCTGGGTTTGATCCCCAGTATCAAGAAGAAAAACAACAAAAAGGAAGGAAAGAAACATAGGAAACATGTGTTTCTTTCCTTCCTTACTGATATCTGGTTCTTTACAGAAAGTGCTATTCTTTAAACATCCTCAGAACAGCAACGCAGATCAATGTGGTGAGTCAGTCGAGGTAATGGTGAACAGAGACCAGGAAAAATAGCTTTATTTGCACTGAAAGCTGGAGCATGAGTAGGACCTCAGTATATTGAGCTAAGGATAAAGATCAGCTTCTAAAAGGGCAGTAGACTTGGTAAACCAGATGACTACATTTCCAATCGGCCTTGCGATGATTAGCACTGTCAATAAAAGACCTGCTGGGAGCTGGGTGTGGTGAACACCTGTGATCCCAGCAATCCCGAGGCTGGCAAATATATTTGTCACTAAGTCACCACAGTGTGCCATCATTACAGAAAAAGGTACAGGCTTTTCACCTTCAGAAAATTTCCCCCACCCCCCCATCATTAATATTACAAAAGAAAGTGCAAAAAAAATCACATTTTACAGATAGTAAGCTTATTTTCAGCATTTAGCTCAGCCTTAGATCTATCAAGCAGGGAGAAGATGGGCTTTGCTATCCCAGGGCAGACCTATTCCCAAGTCCCTAGGGACCAGGGGTGACCAGCAGGGGAAGGCGGGGTGGGGCGGAGAGGGCTAATCTCCCCCAGTACAATGCGCAGCAGCTGAAGCTTGATGGGAGAGCAGGACTGGTGAGACTCGAGGGGAGGGTCCAGGGTCCAGGGTCCAGGCCCTGTGTTCAATCAGAGTCACTGCTGGAAGAGGAGGAAGAGGAGGAATGCTGCAAGGGGAAAGGGGAAAGGACATAGCATCAGATCCAAATGACCTTCCATCACTCTGTGGGCCATTCCTTGGTGCCCCACCCCACCACCCAGGCATCCTAAGAGCAGGACTCTTGACCAGACTGTCCCTTAAACGACAAAACCCAGGGCTGGGAATTTAGCTCAATGGCACCATGCCTGCCTCGCAAGTGAAAAGTCCTGAGTTCCATCCCCGATACCAAAAACAAAACAAAACAAAACTCAGTGCTGTACCACGTGGATACTCAAATGCAGCCAGCACTCTGAAAAAACAACAAAAGCCAGGGTTCCATCAGCAGTGAGCCTTACAGGATTGGATTGAATCATCCTATAAACACTGCACGGAATTTCACATAATATCTTTGGATCATGTTTCCACATTTTCATACCTGAGCCAAGATCAAGGAAAAAATACATTACAGGCACAAGCATAGTGCAGTCTTAGGAAATAGCTGTTACCATATAAATGCCTACAGAATAGCTGCATGCAAAGTCCCTTCGAATCTAACAAATTAGATTATATGAATCGAAGAAGAGTACAAACAGCAGCTGCATGTGTCAATCTCCATTTTTAACCTAAGCCCCAACAAAAAGAAAGTGGAGAAAGTGGGAGAAAAGGCTGGGGTGCCCTACCCAAGATTCTATACACACATACTTTCATCAATGCTACCAGTGAAAACATTTTTATCTGGCACAGTGCACTTGCCTGTAATCACAGCACTTAGAAGGCTGAGGCAGGAGGATCTCTGAGAGTTTCAGGTCAGCTTAGACTACACAGTGACTTCAAGACCAGCCTAAACTAAACTTAGACAGTGAGACCCTGTCTCAAAGAATCAACAAAAAAATTTTTTTTTTGCCCTACCCAAGATTCTATACACACATACTTTCATCAATGCTACCAGTGAAAACATTTTTATCTGGCACAGTGCACTTGCCTGTAATCACAGCACTTAGAAGGCTGAGGCAGGAGGATCTCTGAGAGTTTCAGGTCAGCTTAGACTACACAGTGACTTCAAGACCAGTCTAAACTAAACTAGACAGTGAGACCCTGTCTCAAACAATGAACAAATTTTTTTTTCTACTCTGTGCAGGGTAATTTCTCCCTCATTCAATCTTGCTTTTCCTTCCAAAGACACAGAATCAGGAACAAGAGCCTATGCTGGGCATGGTGGCAACAAGCCTATAAAGTCACCCCTTGGGGAGGTTGAGGCAGGAGGATCGACATGAATCTGAGTCAGCCTGGGCTACATAGTGAACTCAAGGCCTCCCGAACTATATAAGGAGACCCTGTCTCAAAAACCAAAAGGAAAAAAGAAAAAGTAATGAAAGCCCAAATCTACAAAGCAAATAAATACTGAGCACTCTAATGTAATTTAAGGACTCTCCAAGATTCAGATTCCATTCTTCCTTCTCTAAGCCAACAGAGTTGCTCCTATTCTTGCCAGTTAGCATTCCTGCAGAAGGAAGATACTTTCTATTTGGGCTGAGTATGAACTCCCTAAGCCTAGGCTTTGTTTGAGGCTGAGTCATGTGTGGAAACTGCCTATGTCATTAACACAACACCCTGGGAACTTTGACATAGAGAAAGGAACCGGGGCCAGATTATCATTCTATTAATTATTATATAAGACTCTGTCAAAAGACTGACTCGATTAGTTGACATTTGGACAACTTCGGAGGGTGCGCCCAACTTGCCAACGCCTGCACCTGGGGAAGGGCCAAAGTTCTGAGACAGTGAGGCAGTCAAGATGGGCTTTTCACTCTGCTGCCCATATGGGCTTCCTTCCTGTAGTCCCTTCAAGATAGGAGGGGCCCAAAATTTCTTCCCAAGATTATCAGATTCTTAACAGTAGGAGTCCTTTACAAAAAGGAAGAACAAGATTCCACCACAGCACAAATGCCATCTCTTATAGCCACAGACTGAATCCTTCTGACCCAGCTCTGCCTGCCTATCCCTCTGAGGGGCAGAAGCCCTTCCCTAGCCCAGCTCCTGAGGGCACTGACCTTGCCATGCTTGTGGTGTTTGTGTGCCTTTTTATGAGCTTTCTTCATTTTCTTCCTCATCTTCTTGTCCATCACCATCCCTGGGCACACCATGCCAGGGGCCATAGGGTTCACAGGATGCATGCCAGGGGCCGGCGGGGGGCATGGAGGAGGATAGGGACCTGAGGGATGTGGTCTTGGACACCCTGGCTGGGGCACAGGATAACCTGGCCCACATGGAGGGAAAGCTGGATTCCCCGGGGGAGGGGGGCACGTGCCAGGAGGAAAGGCTGGATTGACAGCTGATGGATGTGGTGGACACACAGGATGGGAACCTCCAGAGCACTCAGGGTTTGGTGGACATGGGTTTGGCCCTTGGTAGCCTGGTGGAAGAATCAGAGAATAAATATTAGAATTTCTCAGAACCTCTGATGAAAGAAGAGAGAGGGAAAGACAGAAAGAGAGAGACAGAGAGAGAGAGGAAAGTAGGGAGGAAGGTCAGGGATGTTCCTCAGAGTAAAGACCCTGGGCTTGATTCCCAGGATGGGAGGGTGGATTTTTACTTTCTCACCCAACAATTAAAGGGAAGGAGGAAAGTCAGGGATGTTCCTCAGAGTAAAGACCCTGGGTTTAATCTCCAGTATGGGAGGGTGGATTTTTACTTTCTCAGCCAACAATTAAAGGGAAATGGCAAGGTAAGGAGGTCAGAGACAAAACAGAGTTGGTGAGAAAAAGGTAAATGTCCTTGATAGAGCCAAAGAGAGAAGTAGGCTGGGCAGCGAACTCTCCCCAGTACACTCTATGAAAGTGAAAAACTTGGTAGCAGTGGTTGAAGGACTTTGCTTTTAGAGGTTTGAGAAAGGGTTGAAGGAAGGTATGCAAACTTCCCGTTCTATAGTCTGGAGTGCCAAGGGAAAAAAAATGGATCCAGGTGAGGTAGAGCAGGCCTGTAATCCCAGCATCCAGGCTGAGGCTGGAGATGAGTTCAAGGTCACCCTGGGCTACACAGGAGTTCAAGACCACCCTGAACTACATAGAGAAGCTGTCTCAGAAAACAAAAGCAAAATTGCCCGGCATGGTGGTGCACATCTGTAATCGCAGCATTTTGGAAGCTGAGGCAGGAAGATCACCACAAGTTCGAGGCCACTATGGGCTACATACTGAGACCCTGTCTCAAAATATGTATATATATATATCTATATAGATATATAGATATATAGATATATAGATATATAGATATATAGATATATAGATATATAGATATATAGATATATAGATATATATAAATTTTTCTTTTTTTTAATGCATGATACTGGGATAGATTTCCCAAATACTTACCAGCACTGGGATTCCACATGTTCAGGTGTTTCCCCTAGCCTGAGGACATAAAAGAGGCACAGCTCATGGATCTGGAGGTGCAGAAGGAATTTAAGGCCTGAACCCAACCCCAGCGTCCACCCCACTTGGAGAACCACCACAACCTCCATCTAAGAAATCGTTCCACTTCTTTCTTCTTCAATCCCTACTCTATTTTCAGTTTCCTAACCACAGGAATCTAGTTCCCAGGGCCCCTACACCTTTTCCCTACCACCGGCCACACCCAAGTGTCCAACTCCTGGGAAAGGGGCAGAGCCCGCGAATCTCAGATCTCCGTCTCTCTTGTCCCTGTCCCTCGGCCTGACACCTGAGGACCTTAACCACCTACATGGATCTCAGCCTTACACGCCCCGCAGTCCCCGAAGAGGAGCCCCTCGCAGGCCAACAGATCCGTCTCCGGACGAGAAAGGAGAGGAAGCCCAAAATCCTCAAGTATGGAAGCCAACACAGCCCTGCCTCCCAAGAAAGAGCAAATGGAGAGCCTAGCCCCCGACTGCAAAGGAGCCCTGGCGCGGGAAAGGAAGAAATGGAGCTCTCCAGATCCCGGGTCACCTTTCTCCTACCGCCGGGCTAGGTCCGTCCTCTCCAGTCTCCGCTCTCACTTCCTGGTCAGCCGAGTCTCTTACTCCTGCCTCCGCCTGTGTTGCCGCCTACTTGGTCAGTCGCCATAATGATTGGAGGCCGGACCCGCCAATCACTGTGGTGCTACTAGACTAAGAGGAGACGGTTGCTACGGGACAGGGTCCAGCCCTTTGGGGCGGGGTCCACGCTGAGAAACTACCCGGCGCTTTGCTCTTGGGGGCAGGGAAAGGGGCGGGACGGAACACGCGGGGGCGGGGCCAAGAGGGTCCAGACCCGGCCGCGGGCAAAGTCCCTGTGAAAGGGAGAGAAACTTCAGTCGGTGGCTGTGACACATTAAAATGTGTCAACACCGTGATAAGTGTTGTAATACAGATATTCACAGAATTCTCTAGAAAAGGAAAGGCAGCTGCTGAAAGCTTAATATTGCCACTTCCCTGTTCTATCTCCTAAGAAGCAAACAAACGCCCTTGGGGAAAAAGCAAGATTCCCTAATTTCTCCCAGGTTTCCTATGTCAGTTGTAGAGCACTGCCCTTGTGAAGTTCCCGAAAGTAGAAACCAAGAGGGTCCTCTCTAATGCCTCTCCTTCACCTCTCCTTGCCCTCAGTCCCAGCCCCAGAAAAACACACCGAATTCATCCTTTTTTTCTCGCAAATACTTCCGGAAGACCACCTTTTTGTTTGTTTGGGTTTTTTGGGGTGTTTGTTTGTTTGTTTGTGTGTTTTGGTTATAGTGATCAAACTCACTGAGGACCTTGCCTTTGCGAGGCAGGTGGCACCCCTGAGCTTAATCCCACCCCACAGGTGTTTGTTTTTGAGACAAGGTCTTACTATGCAGTTCAGGCTTGCCTGGAACTCACTATGTAGCCCAGGCTGGCCTGGAACTCACAGTAATCCTCTTGCCTCAGCCTCCTGAGTGCTGGCATTATAAGCACACATCACCACACTGAGAAACTACTAACCAGGCCCAAGCCTGCTTAGTTTCCAATATCAGAAGAGAGCAGGCCCTCTCAGGGTGGTATGGGCCAAAATGTAGTATGCCCATAGACTTCTTTTTGGTAAAGTTGAGTTTGAAAGAAGTATTGATGTATCCATTTGGGTTATTTATTATTGTATTTTATGTCTTTTTTTGTGCTGGTCCTATTAGGCAATCCTCCTGCCTCAGCTTTCTGGAGAACTGAAACTATAGTTACACATCACCACACATGGCTTGTTTTTTGTGAGGTTGTTTTTCTCTTCTAGGACTGGGGATTGAACCTAGGACCTACCCACTAAGCTGCATCCCTAGGTGCCTTAGTCACTTTCTCATTGCTAGGACACAAGACCTGACACCCACAACAGGAAGATAGGTTTGTTTTGTCTCCTTTGTTTAGTCCCTAGCTGCCTGGCTCCAAGGTATGGTGGAAGGGAGTGGCAGAAGAAAGTTGCTCACATCACGGTGACCAGGAAGTCAGGAGAGAGGGGACAAGCCTGAGGCAGAGATATGGACTTCCAGGTCACACCCCCAGTGATACAGCTCTGAAAGGCCCCATCTCCTAACAGCAAGCCAGCTGTAGCTCCCTCATAATTCGGTTACCTTCCAAAGCCCCACCTGTGAGTTCCTGAGGCTCTTGGGGGACATCTAGCTATAAGCCACAATATTCTGTCTAGAAGACTCATGCACATCTCTTTATGCAAAATGCATTTAGTCCATCTCTACGGGTCACCAAAGTCTTAACAGTCTTGGCAGTGCTGGAAAGTCCCAGTCCAGCTGGGCACGGTGCTGCCTGCCTGTAATCCCAGCACTTGGGAGCCTGAGGCAGGAAGATTGCCACAAGTTCAAGGCCACCCTGAACTACATACTGAGACCCTGTCTCAAAAAGCAAAACAAAACAAAACAACAAAAGTTAGACAATATACAATGGCACAAAGTACACATTCACATTCCAAAAGGGAGCAATAGGGAGTAGAAACCAATGGGACAAGGCAAGACCAGAACCCAGCACGGCAAACATTAACTTCCGTAGATCCATGTCCAGTACCTGGGGCAAAGATGCGAACTCCAAGGGCCAGGGATGTGTCTTAGTGGTGCTGTGCCTTCCTGTGCAAGGTCCTGAGTTCAATCCCTGGTACCCCGACACACAAAGAAAAGGATGTGAACTGCAATGAGCTTGGGTGGCCCCACCCCATGGCATTGTCAGTAGCAGCCCTTATAGCTCCTCTGTTGGACTGGCTCTGCTCACTGCCTGAAGCTTTCTTCAGACATTCCACATTCCTGGCTTCTCCAACTTCCTGGGGTCTGCACTGCATTACAGCTTTCCTCTCAAAGCTTCACGTACCACCCTCTTGGTAGCCTACTGCCGCCTGCCCTCCCAGGTCTTCTCAAATCTGGGTGGAAGCCTCCCTGACCCCACAACTCTTGCATCCTGCATGCGTAGAAAGCTAACACCACCTGCATGGTGCTAGGGTCTGCCACGAGCTGCAGCAGGAGCTGAGTCCCTTGAATCATGGCTGTGGAGGCCTCTGAGTGCCTAGATGGCTGCATTCTGGGAAACTTTTCCATCTCCAGCACAAAGGAGGGCAGTGCCCCACCTATGAGAGGGAATAACTAAACATAAAACCATAACACCCGCCTTTTTAGTTTTTAAAATTTTGAGTCAGCATTTCACTAACTTCCTAAATTGCCGAAGGTGGGCTTAAACTTGAAATCCTCCTGCTGGAGCTTCCCAGACAGCTAGAATTATAGGCATGTGTCACCATCCCCCTCTGTGTGTGTAGGTTTGCTTTGTTATTTGCACAACTGGAGATATTGCTCAGGGGCACTTTACACTGAGCTACATCCCAGCCCTTTTTATTGATTTGTTTAATCTTGAGACAAGGTCTCAGTAGATTGCCTAGTCTTGCCCGGAATGTAAGGCTTCTTTTGCTGTCAAGTGCCTGGGATTACAGGAGTGCACTCTGCAATTGACTCAGGTTGTTTTGTTGTTATTGTTGTTGTTGAGATAGGATTTCGCTTTATAGTCCTGACTGGCTTCAAACTTCCTATATTCCGGGCTGGCCTGGTAGTCACACTCTTGCCTCGACCTCGTGAAGGCTGGCATTACAGGAATACACCACTACTCTCAGCTGGTTTTCATTCATTTGCCTTCTTGTTGCTTACTTTCTTTCTTTTTGTGGTAAGGATATTTGCCTTTTTAAAATTTTTAAAAATTTGAGACAAGGTTTCACTAAGTCATTAAGTTGCCCAGGGTGCACTTGAACTTGTGATCCTCCTGCCTCAGCCTCCCAGAGAACTGGGATTACAGTCAGGTGCCACTGCACCTACTTCGTTGTTGTTCTTCTTCTTTATTAAATAAACTTCATTTTTAGATACTCTTTAGATTTTCAGAAAAATTACAAAGATGGTATAGTTTCCATAAGCCCCACACTCACTTCTCTTTATTAATGAACTTCTTACGGCAATAAGATTATATGTTTGTTATAATTAATGAACCAACTGTGTAGTGCTGGGGATTGAACCAAGGACCTGGCATATGCTGAGCACAGGCTTTAATACTAATGTACACCCTGAGCTCCCATGAGCCAAGCTGGTACATGATTATTAGTGAAACTCCAGAAGGTGGGACCGGGAAGATACATTTTTCTTCCCCAAGTACTGGGGATGGAACTCAGGATCTTGCAGTTGCAAGGCAGGCGTGGTGCCACTGAGTTAAATCCCTGGCCTGATAAAAACATTTTCATGAAACTCCACTCTTTATTCAGCTTTCTTTAGTTTTTGCCCTTTGTCCTTGCTCCAGAACAACCCAGTCCTAATCTATGTGCCATAGACAGAAAATCTAAGACTGGAGAGAGTGCAATTTATTGGGAGATTTCCTGAAGGAAGTGTGGTCCTGGTTAGCCAAATGACCAGCTGGTTCTCCACAACTTGGACTAGAAGGAGGGGTGTGTGCATGGGTTTATGAAAAGAGTAACTTCATACTAACTGTAATGTACCCAGTTTGTCTTATTCTTTGTTTTCTGAGTTAGGGTCTCTCTTTGTAGTTCAGGCTGGTCTTGAATGCACTATGTATCCGTAGTGACCTCAGCCCTTCAAGTGGTGGAATTACAGGTGTGTACCACCACGCCCAGTATACCTGGTTAATTTTAAAGTACCATTGAAGAGGCAAGCCCATATTCGGTGTCAAAATCAAGTTGTAAAACTCCAACACAGTAACTGTTTTGTTACTTGTTACTTTGTACTCTGTTACCATTTACTTTGTAAGTTATTTTGGCTTTCTGGAAAGTATGCAAGAGAAAGCAAGGATTATTCTAGAGCAATCATGGCCAGATATCTGTGGCCATGTCAAGCTGATCGATGTAGTCCTTTCTGTTACCACATTGTGTTGTCAGATCTCCTTATGCTCCTCTGGGATAGCTCCTATTGATAGCCTCTCAGACTTTTTGTTTTGATGACCTTAACAGCTTTGAACAGCTGGTCTGGCATTATGCAAAATATCCCTCTGTTAGAATTTGTCTGTCTCTCTGTGATCACAGTTTGGTTGGTTGGTTGGATGATCCTTTGGTTTTGGTTTTGGTTTTTTTGTTGTGCTGAAGATTTGATCCCAGGCGCTCGACACGTACTAATACTGGTACAAGTGTACCACTGAACTATATCTTCAGCTCTTATTTTATTTTGAGGCAGAGTGTCCCAAAATTGCTCAGGCTGGCTTGGAATCTGTCTCTGCCTTTCAAGTTGCTGGGATTACAGGAGTGCACCACTGCAGTGACTATAGGTTGTATTCTTTTTTTTTTTTTCCAGGCTGAGGATTAAACGCAGATCTTGGCCATGCTAGGGAAGTATTCGGCCACTGAGCTGTATCTCCAGCCAAATAAGGTGATTTTCAATTAGCATATAGCTTATGCTCATCACCAGGTTGTACGTTCCTTTTTTTTTTTGATAGTGGGGATTGAACTCAGGAGCTTGTATTGGTGAGGCAGGCGCAGTGCCACTGAGCTAAAACCCAAGCCCTGTACATTTTTATTTCATGGCATTTTGTATTTCTCATAATTTGTCAAGATTTTATAAACATTTTAAAAAATAGATCTCACTATATTACCCAGGTTGGCTTGGACTCAAGGAATCCTCCTGCCTCAGCCTCCCAAGTAGCTGGGATTAGAAACATGTGCCATTCCACTCAGCTTTTTAACTTTTTTTTTTCCATTCTGAGGATTGAAGTCATGGCCTTTGTACTTTTCTTTTGTTTATTTTGAAACACGGCCTTGTTAAATTGTTAAATATTTTTAATGGCTGACAATCTTTGTTGTATTATTTGGAAGCTGAAACTGGGAATGTAACTCAGTGGTGCCATGCCTGCCTGGCAACTGCAAGGTCCTGCGTTTGATCCTTGGTAAGGGATGGGGAGTGAGACACATGCCCCCACCCCTACTTTTTTTTTTTTTTAGACAGGTTCTCACCATGTAGTCCAAACTGGCCTTGAAATCACTATGTATTCCAGAGGCCATCTTCTTGCCTCATCCTCCTGAGAGTGGGATTACAGGTGTGTGGTACCACACCCAGCTCCTTAGACATATTTCTAAACTTCTAAATTTCCTGCTCTGAAAATGGTGCGAACAGGACTGTCATGGGAAGCACAATTTCGCTATTGAGCAGAGGCAAGAAATCGTGAAAGCTGTGTTTCAAGATTATCCAGAGAATAGTATTCAGCGTATGTTGTGGAGAGTGTGAGGGTGGATATAAAAATAAATGGTGGGCTGGGGATGTAGCTCAGTGGCACTGCACCCACTTGGCAAACACAAAGTCCTGAGTTCAATCTCCAGTATGGCAGTGGGGGGAGATCAAGATAAAAATAAATGGAGGAGGGGCTGGGGACTTAGCTCAGTGGTTCCACCACGTGCCGTGCAAGCAAGTTGCAAGGTCCTGAATTTGATCCCCGTTACCAAATAAAGAAATAAAGAAATAAAGAAAGAACTTCCCATCAGGACTCATAAGGCTTTTCCTAAAGTTTCCCACATTCCCTTTCCTCTCTTCCCACCACGCACCCTGCACTTTTTTGCTACTCGTCTCTTCTTGTTCTTCTTGCATACTGCTCCCACCTCAGGAGGCCAAGGACTCCTTGCTGACCTAGGAATTTAGGCTCAAGCTTCCTGAACTTGGATGGGACCTCCCAGTGGGAGCTTCAGGTCTCTGAGTACCTTCAGGGAAGTAACTTCATTGTGTTCAGGCTTTTTTTCTCCAGTGCCCAGCAGGAGATCCCACCTTTTAAATGCTGCAGGCCCTGGGGAGAATGGGAATGGTCCAGGGTCACAGGAAGGGGAGAAAGCCAAGAACAAGAGTCAGGAAAGCTGACTTTATTTTCTTTCCTATGCATGCCACCCTCTACATACTGGTCAGGACCACTGTGGACTTGGTACCACAGAAGAATCCAAGGATTTAGTAAATGGGAAAGCCATGATAAGGCAGTCCATGCAGTACATGATCACCACATTTACGTCTGAAAATACAAGATTCCACATAAACTGCAAGTTTACTCAAGAGAAATGGCACTGGCAGGCTGAGAATTCCTGGAGTCAGGGCTTTGCTGAACGCTGGAGTGGAAGGCACTTAGCTGAGGCCTGCAGGGGAGAATAACAGGGGCCGGAGGAGAGGGATAGTCTTCTGGGCAGCGAGGTGAGCAGACAAGCTCACAGCCCTCTGGGAAGGAGTCAGCTTCCCGAGGATGGGTCAGAGTGGCCAGGCGCTGCTGCAAGCACTCAGCTGTCAGCCGGGCTTCTGGGTCTGCGTCCCAGCAGTCTTCTAGGAGTTCCCTCAGCCCACCGGGGTCCTGGGAGGAATGGCGGAGAGGCAGACTTGATCCTGGAATCTTTTTTTTTTTCCCCAATACTGGAGGTTGAACCCAAGTTCACTCTACCACTGAGAAATTCCCCAGCCCTTTTAAAACACATTTTATTTTGAGACAGAGTTTTGCTAAATTTCCCAGGCTGACCTTAAACTTTCAATCCTCTTGCCACAGCCTCCTGAGTAGCTGGGATTACAGGAGTGTACTACTGTGCCCACCTAAACCCAAGATCTGGGACCCCAGGTTTAAAAGTCATCTTCAGGCTGGGGATATAGCTCAGTGGCACTGTGCCTGCCTCACAATCACAAGGTTCCGAGTTCGATCCCCGGTACAGAAAAAAAAGTCATCTTCAGTGCCCACCACACCTGGTTTTCAGTGTGATTTTTGTTTTGTTTTGTGTGAGTTTTCTTTCTTTCTTTTTCCCCAGTGCTAGGATTGAGCCCAGAGCCTTGCACTTGCTCTGTCACTGAACTACAACTCAGCCATATCACTCCTGTTTTCAGCATTCCTGATCCTTTCTGAAGCCTCTTTCTCATCCCCCTCACTGAAATTCAGCCCTGAGGCTCATTCCCTTGCATTGGGGTCCACTGTCTCCTCTGAGAAGCTGATTCAGGCTGACAATTTAGCATGCTACTGAGAAATTACCCTCTGTTATGCCTTGTTTAGATGTCCCCTTCCAAAGCCTCCTGCCCTCATAGGTGTGGCTTTTCAGAGCTGCCTGGATCTAGGGCATGTGATACTGGGATTAAGCCCCACCCTGGGTGTGGGTGGCACTAATCAATAAGTTTGAGGCCAGGATGGACTATAAAAGGATAGAGAGAATTCAGGCTTATGGCTGCTGCTGCTTGCTGCTTTACTATCTCCTACTTGCTTTGCCATGGACAGTTTTTCCTTTGCAATTCCCTTCTGTCATGCAGCCCTGCCTTGTTGCTAACCTACTATGGACTGAAACTTACTACAAACCATGAGCTGAAATAAATCTTTCTTCCTTTAATTTTTGGTTTCCAGTATTTTGTCTCAGAAATGAGAAAAGTAACTAAGACACTCTCCTTTTTCTCAAGCTACCAGGGTATTCTGCAAACAATGCCTGGCTTCCTTAGCTAACACAATAGACACATGGGCAGTAGATATTTTATACTGGATAGCAGAAGGGACATTCATTAAGAAATAATCTGATAGCCAGGCGTGGTGTAATCCCAGCACTTGGGCGGCTGAGGCAGGAGGATCACTGTGAGTTGGAGACCAGCCTGGGCTACATAGTGAGTTCCAGGTCAGTCTCAACTACATAGTGAGACCCTGTCTCAATGCCCCCCCCCAAAAAAGAAATAATCTGAAGCCAGGAATTTAGCTCCGTGGCATTGCAACTGCCTTGCAAGCTCAAGGTCCTGAGTTTGATCCCTGGTACCACACACACACACAAAAGAAATAATCTGTGCACTGCATGCGGCTCCACATCTTGGGACCTATAATCCCAGTATATGGGAGACAGAAAGAGGAGGGCCAAGCTGAAAGTTCAAGGCCAGCCTCGACTACATAGCAAGACCCTGTCTCAAAAACCAAAACAAGAAATTATTTCTTCAGACCACTGAACGTCGACTGTGAGGCCTCTGATCCAACCTTTCATACCTAGAACTAGTTTTTGATAGTACTTCAAAGTGAACCTAGAGGGTAGAGCTTGCCAGGCAAGCACTCTACCACTGAGCTACATCCCCAACACTTTTTAATTTTTAAAATTTATTTATTTATTTATGGGGGGGCACTTGGAATTGAACTCAGCGCCTTACACGTGCCAGGCAAGTATTGTCCTGCTGAGCTACATCCCTAGCCCTGGTTTGGTTTTTAAAAACAGGGTCTCATTGGGTAGGCCAGGCTGGCCTTGAACTCATGGTGATCCTCCTGCCTCAACCTCCCAAGTGCTGGGATTAAAGGTGTGCACCACCACACCCAGCTGTGTATTTTATTTTTTGTGCATTGCGGTTGAACCCAGGGCCTTCACACTGAGTTCCTTTTTACTTTTTCTTTGGTACTGGCAATTAAACTCAGGACCTTGTGCTTACGAGGCAGGTGGCAGCAGGTAATGGCACCACTGAGCTAGATCTCCAGCCCTCCTTTTTACTTTTTTATTTTGACACAGGGACTTATGGAGTAGCTAAATTGCCTGGTCTGAGCTCAAATTTATCCTCCTGCCTCAGCCTCTGGAAGTAGCTGGAATTACAGGCATTCTCCACTGCACCCAGCCAAGAACTGGATTTTATTGCTCCACAGAAGAAGCACAGATCTATGGCACTGTACAAGGAGTCCTAGCTGGGTTTCTGGGCTCTGCTGTATCAGGAGAGACACCATTTGAGGACAGAGCTCAGGGAAGGAGCAGTGAGGGAGGGCTTCCTGGAGGAGAGGACTGAGGAATAGGGCTAACTGATGGCAGAGAGGAGAGTCAGGTCAAGGCTGAGCAGGAAGGTGGGTATCTCAGGTGGACGGAAGAAGATTTGTGAGACAGGGTAGAAGAAGGTGAAAAGAAGGCTAGTGCAGTTGCCCCAGTTCCAGGAGTTGTGGCAGATGGGAGGAGGCAGGAGTAGATGGACTGGCCTGGGGAGAAAATTCCTTGAAGCCCCCTCCCCAAAGGTCCCCAGCTGGCCAGTCTGAGGCTTCTTACTGTGGTAGAGCAGCTCCAGGTAGATGGGATGTAAGGGCGCCTTCTCTCATCTACTGCCAAGGCCCAGAGCTCACAGGTGGTAGGGGCACTGCCTACTTCTGCCTCGTAGGCCAGCTGGAAGGGTGGTGGCCTGCGGTCTGCGGGGAGGGATAGGACCAGGTGTCAGCTTGCCCCGGGATGCCTCCTACATCCGTTGAGAAGCTGCCCGGAAGGGGGACAGGAGGTGGGTGAGCCTAGAAGGAGTGGATAGGGCACACTAAGGGAAGAGACTTTACCAGGGCTCAAATCTGGGCACCGGCTCAGGATCTCCCACAGGAGCAGAGCCAGAGAGTAAACATCTGCTCGCCGGAGGGCTGTGCCCCAGTCATGTAGGTCCAGAGTCTTGTCCAAGAGCTCTGGCGCCATGTACCTGTAGGTGCCAGCCTGGAGAGAAAGGCGTGGAGGGCCGGGAGTCACCTGTGTGGTGACCTGCACTGCAGCCTGGACCCCTGCAACACCCTCCCCACAGCAGGCTCAGCAGTGTCCCTGCTGCCATACACACGGCCCCACCATCGCTGCACTCCCCTGGCAGCTCCACTGCCATCCCCGCCTCGCCCATGTCCAGAGTACTCACCTCCATGATGGCAGCTGGGCCTCGAGGCTGAGCAGGAGCCCAGGTGGGAGGCTGGGAAAGGCCGGGGAGCACCAAGGCAAGGCCCAGGTCTCCAATGGCACATGACCCGTCTTCCCGAATGAGCACATTCTGGCTGCTCAGATCACGGTGGGCAATGCCTGGTTTATACTGGCCTGTGGGGAGACCATGGCTGAAGGCACCTGGGACTTCTTCAGCTCTTTTTTTTAACCTCATCCTTCCCTTCCCAGCTAAGGGAGAATTGGACACACAGCAGTGTGGCTCCTGAACCCCTTGGCTTCCTGCAACCAGCTCACGCACCATGCTGCCAGCGCTCCCCGTGCAGAAATGCCAGGCCCTTGGCCAAGGATACTGCCATCCGCAGGGAACTTTTCCAGTCACTGGTGTGCTGGGTCAAGTAGTGGCACAGAGAGCCCTGGGGGAAAGCAGGGAGAAGAAGGACACACAAAGCTAGAGGCGATGGATTTTTTGAGCCCAGGGAGCAGAGTTCAATTGCCAGACTCTCCCCACCCTTTTACCTCCCCTGCAGAGACACATCCTGCTAGGTCCAGGCCAAGACAGCTGGCAGGGGAAGAGTGAGCAGGTGCACCAGTCAGATGGTTGGGAAAACAGTAACTCTACATCGATTGTACTGAGCAGAAGCTGTGACCCAGGTGCTGTGCATGTGGCTGTCTGGAATTCACTAATTCACTTGTAGTCCAGGCTGGCCTCAAACTCCTGATGATCCTCCTGCCTCAGCCTCCTGAGTGCTGGGATTACAGGCGTGCGCCACCACACCCAGCTTTGCTAGTGTCCTTTGCTAGTCCAGAAAATGGGTAAAGGCAGGGACTGTGTGTGCTTTTCTCAGCATCTAGCACAATGCCTGCCATATAGTTTGTAAATATTTGTAAAGTGAACATAAGAATGGGTTAGAGTGCTATGCCTAGAGGTATACATTTTTCTCCTTTTTTTGGTAATACTGGTGATTGAACCTAGGACCTTCTCACTGCTCTGCATTCCCAGCACTTCCATGTTATTTTTATTTATTTATTTTTGAGACAAGACCTCCTCGTTATACAGTTTAGGCTGGCCTTGAACCCACCATGTAGCCCAGGCTGGCCTCAAACTCGTGGCTATCCTCCTGCCTCAGCCACCCAAGTGCTGACATTACAAGTATGTGCCACCATGCCCGGCAATTTTTTTGGAGGTTGGGGTACTGGGGATCAAACTTGGGACCTTGTGTTTGTGAGGCAGGCAGCGGAACCACTGAGCTGAACTAAATACCCGGCACCCCAGCAGTTTTGTTTTATTTTGAGACAGGGTCTCACTAAATTACTAAATTGTACAGCAGGCTGGACTCAAATTTGAGATCCTCCTGCCCCAGCCTCCCAAGAGTGCTGGGATTATAGGACTGATTGACCATATCCAGCCCCTGCCATTTTTAAATAAAATTTTTAAAATTCTGAGACAGGGTCTTGCTAAGACTAATTTTTGAGGGCTAATTTTTTTGGGGGGTACTGGGGAATCAAACTTGGGCCCCTGCGCTTGTGAGGCAGGTGGTGAAACCACTGAGACAAATCCCCAGCCTAATTTTTGCTTTTTTTAAATTTTGTTTTGGGTACTGAGCTTGGTACCTCCTGCTTGGAAGGCAGATGGCAGCACCACTGAGCTAAATCCCTGGCCATTTTGTTTTGTTTTTTTGAGACGAGGTCATGCTATGTAGATCAGGCTGGCTTTAGGCTCACTACATAGCCCAGGCTGGCCTCGAACTCTTGGCCACTCTACTGCCTCATCCTCTTGAGTGCTGGGAATACAGGCATGTGCCACCATGACTAACTCCCAGGCTGTTTTTTTATTTTGTTTTGTTTTTGGTACCAGGGATTGAACTCAGGTCCTTGTGCTTTCAAAGCAGGCAGTGGAATCACTGAGGTAAATCCCTGGTCCCCAGGTTGGTTTTTTGTTTGTTTTTGAGAAAAGGTCTCACTATGTACAATATTCCAGACTGGCCTTGAACTCATGATTGTTCTGCCTCAGCCTCTAGTGTGCTAGGATAACAGGCATGTACCACCACAGCTGGCTTCATGTTAGTATTTTTAACCCATACAATACAGATAAGGGAGGCAGGATGCAGTGGGATGAGTATCTGTAATCCCAGTACATGGGAGGCTGAGGCAGAAAGATTATGAGTTTGAGACCAGCCTGGGCTTCATACTGACTCTGTCTCAAAATACCAAAAGTATAATAATGGCCAGGATCACACCTGTAATGCCAGCACTCAGGAGGCTGAGGGAGGAAGATCACCATGAGTTTGAGGCCAGCCTGGACTACATAGTGAGTTCAAGTCAACCTGACCCACATAACAAGACCCTGTCTCAAAAACAACAACAGCCGAGCGTGGTGGTGCACGCCTGTAATCCCAGCACTCGGGAGGCTGAGGCAGGAGGATCTCTGTGAGTTCAAGACCAGCCTGGGCTACATAGTGAGTTCCAGGTCAGTCTCAACTACATAGTGAGACCCTGTCTCAAAAAAACAAAATAAATAAAATAAAAACAACAACAACAAAAATAGTATCAATAACACTAACGTGAGCTGGATGAGTGAAAGTACACCTACAGTCTCATCTACTTGGAAAGTTGAGGAAAGAAGTTCACTTCAGCCCAAGAGTTCAGGGGCCAGCCTGGGCAGCACAGTGCCACTTTAACTCGAAACACAATGAAAACAACAAACATGTAATGCTTGTGTAATGAAAAGGAAAAAACTTCCTGAGTTCAATTCCTTGTACCAAAAAAAAAAAAAAAGAAAGAAGAAGAAGAAGAAAGAAAAGAAAAAAACTGATCTAAATGTTTAGAGAAAAACTTTAAAGCAAAAGAGTAAGTGTGGAATCCCAGCAGATGGGAGGCTGAGGCAGGGGGATTACCATGAATTTGAGGCCAGCCTGGGCTGGATAATGAGTTCAAGGCCAGGTTGAACTACATAGTGAGATTTGGCCTCACAAAATTTAAAATAAATAAATAATATAATAAAAGAACAAAACAAAACAACAACAATAAAAACTGACAAAAAAAGTTCCACCGCTAGGGAGGCTGAGGCAGGAGGTTCGCCATGAGTTTGATGCCCACCTAGGCTATATAGTGAGTTCAAGACCAGCCCAAACTATGCAGAGAGACCCTGTCTCAAAACAAACAAAAAGCAAAAAAAGAATAACCGTGGTTAGGGTCCCACCTCAATTCGCACACACAGGCATACACATTAAACATACATTCCTTACTCTTCACCTTAGGGTGTAGTTCCAGTACCAGCAAGGGCCCAGAGGGGAGAGGGCCAGGGCCTCCCTGGCCAGCAGTGATAAAGCGGACAATGTGGTCGTGCTGTAGGCTCAGCAGCTCGTACATCGCCCTCTCAGACCGGAACTGGGCCACAGCCCCTGGAGGGAAGGCCTTGATGGCTACCAGCTCACCTTGCAGCTGCCCGGCCCATACTAGCGTGTGACGTCCTTCCTGGATTACCTGGAGGGGACACTGTGCTGGTTGCAGGCCTACGAGCTAGGCTAGGCTTCCCAGCACCTTCAGCAGTGCCCAGAGGGTCCTTTCCTCCCACTCTAGGGCACCTGAGAAAAACACAGCCCGGGCAGCTCCTGCAGCTCTTCACTCCAGTTTCTGTCTGAGTCTGGCTCTGGCTCTGGCCCACCTCCCACTCTGCGAGCCTTTCTTTGTAGTAGGGCTGGGGCAGAGAAGGGCCTGGGGTCAGAATGCACAGGCGCAGGGATGCGGCAGGGGACTTTGTGGGAAGGGGGTCTTGTGTCAGGTAATGGAAGGCAGGCTGTGGAGGTGCATGGGGGGTGTCCTGGAAAGGGGTCAGTGTTTTGGGGCAGGGTCTTGGTGTAACGAGAGAAAGATGAGGTAGATTAGTACCCAAGACAATACTGCCCAGCAACAGCAGGAGGAGGAACAGCCCCAGGAACACCAGTGCCATCCAGATGGACTCACCTGGACATCAAAGCAAGAATGTAGGTGGGTAAGTACTGCCCCAAACAGCTCTCTACCTCTCTCCCCTCCTCAGAGAGCTTGCTTCACAACCACCCCCATCCTGGTCATAGTCCCCTTATCTCCCAGTCACCAGGGCAACCGACTTTCCAAGGTCAGGAGGAGGAAAGCACAGGATGGGGCAGTGTGAGAACTGGCCTTGATTCTACCTCTCATCCTAACCTGGCCCCATCCCTGGGCTTCAGCACCCCCATACCCACACACACACAGGCAGCTACCTGGGGCGACCTGGGGGCCCTGAGGACCAGGAGCCCCCAGGCTCCCTGGGGGTGGCAGGCGGCTATAGTTGGCATTGCAGAAATCAGTGCCACAGGAGCAGATGAAGAGAGTGGAGCCAGGGCTGGAGCGGGCTCGGGGTCTTGGGTCACAGTGGAGGGACTCACAGCCTGGCTCATCGCTGTCTCGGCACCCTGATGGAGCAGAGTTAGGGGAAGGGGAGAAAAAGAGGGTGAGAGCACAATGGGATCTGGGGATGGAGAGGATAAATCCCTTCTGTATTAGAGGCATCCTTTCTATCTCACATGGGCTTTCTTTCTCTCCACACATTCCACTTCGCCCATTCCCCCTTGGCTGCCACCCATACCCCAGGACGTGCCTGTTTCCCACCCTAGCTATCACTTGCCGTGTACTTTGCCATTCACCTTGCATCTCCACCTGGGCCCGGCCTTGGGTCAGGTTCCAAATCCCAAAGCAGCAGCGGCTGTAGAGGCAGCGGATAACCCTGGGGGACCCTGGTCCTGCATCTAGCAGCTCCCCCAATGTCTTTGTGCTTCCCTGCACTCCAGGGGCCTCAAAGAACACACAGATCCGCCTGTTTGGGGGTGCTGAGGCCCAAGATGAGGAAAGGGGAGGATTTAAGAAGGGAGTGAATGCAGGGACAAAAATAGTCGCCTAAAGGGTAGACAAAACATGATTTTCATATCCCAGGGGCAGTAGTAAAGCTACAGGAGGAAACCCAGACAGCAAAGCAACCTGACCCCCCACCCCACTGAGGGCACACGGCTCTACCCTTCACCCTCTCGCCTCCAGTCCTCACCACTGTCCCAAAGGGGTGGTTACTGCTTCATTGGATGGGTGGAAAGACCCTGCCCCTTCCTGCAGACACTCACCTTGCGTAGCTGCAGGGAGCAATGCCCAGAGCCCCAGTGTCCCCAGCATCCCTCTGAAGGATGGCAGAAGGAGGACAATGACATAAGCCAGGACAGCTGCCCCTGGCCAAAGCTTTCTTCAGATGCAGGACACAGTGGAGCTTCCAAGCCCTCCGTCCCCAACTCCACCCCCTGTGTCCTATCCAGTCTCTGGGAGAGATGGCTGCTGTGGGGGAGAGGGTGGGTGTGAGGAAAACAGGGAAAGAAAGGGAGGAGCAGAAAACCAATCTCATATCCTCCTCTCTTTAGCCACCTCCTCTTTTCTGTGCAGTGCAGGAGGAGGGGGCTTGCAGGCCTAGTTTAGAACCTAGTGATACCTAACTTCAAATCTCTGCCCTTTGCTGACCTTGGAAGATTAGGTGCTGGAAACCAAAGTAAGGTCAAATGGTTAGAGATTTGCAGCACTGCCCAAAAATCTTCGGGTTTTTTGGGGGGTGGGGTGGGGCTTGTGGGGGGTGTTGAGACAGAGTTTCGCTATGTAACCCAGGCTGACCTCAAACTCATGGGAATCCTCCTGCCTCAGACTCCAGAGTGCTGAGATTACAGGTGTGCACTACCGCTCTTTGCCCAATATTCCTTCTAACCTATATTATACAGGCCTCAGATCTGTAGCTCTCTGGGCAGGAGATTTCACAACCTATACTAGAGTTGATCTCATTTTCCAAACTCAAGAATTGAAAAGTATATATTAAATTTCTCAGAGTTTAAAAAATAATGTTGAAAATAAAATGGTTACGAGTTAGGCATGGTGTCACACTCCTGTAATCACAGCACTCACTTGGGAGGCTGAGGCAAGAGGATCACTATGAGTTTTCAGATCAGCCTGGGCTACATAGTGAGACCTTGTCTCAAAAAAAAAAAAAAAATGATTATAATGGCAAATTTTGTTATGCATATTTCTCCATAATCATAATAAAAACAGCTGGGGATGAATCTCAGTGGTACAGCACCTAGATCCAACTCCCAGTACCACAAAACAAAGACAGCAACAACAACAACAACAAAACAAGGGCTTATAAAATGAGCAAATCACCATTATTGAGGTCATAACAACTCTTTATTGAGCACCTAGTGTGTGCAATGGCACAGCCAGGGTTATGCATTTTACAATCGTCTAATTCTCCCACTGAGGCATTTATTATTATTTCCACCTTACATATAAGAAAATTCAGTTTAGATGTAAGTTGTCCAAGGTTATTCTGGTAGAAAATAGCTTGAGGTGGGACTTGAACCTAGGTAAGTTTTATTCCAAAGCCCAGGCTCTGTTTTTATGCTACCTGAAAACAAATACAAAATCCAGCAATGAAAAAAATATTTCCATTTAAAGCAACATTTCAATATTTGAATTTGTGTGATTGACAAAATACAAAGGATTATCTGCCAGCAGGCCACTAACTAGAAAGGGAGCAAACAGTTCAGATTCTCACCACCAGAAGTCAGCAGATATAGGAGAAACTACGGCTGTGGCAAAAGGGCACAATGCCCTCTCTGATTACTAATACACACAGAACACCTCCTATTAAGTATTTTTTTCCACCAAGTATTAAGCTGCAGGACTCTAAATGCACAGGGTGTGTAAAGGGCATGTCAGCATGCAGATGGAAGTCTATGGCTTGTGTTGCAACAGACAGGAACCTAACTCCACCTGATTCTTCCCCTGAGTAACAAACCAGTCATTTCCACACGTGAGCAGCTGGCTCCTATGAGAACTAGAATGCAAGTGGACTAGTTCCGTTTTTCTGACTTTGGCCCCCTAGTGGCTGCCTGGAAACTCAGAATGATCTAGTTTAGGTCTAGGATGAGAATCTGAGTACTGCACTGACTCTGCTGCTGGGGTCTGAGTGAAATGAGGGAAGACTGAGAGCTCCAATAGTTGTGAAACAGCAGCTCAAGGAATGACTAGAGCCAGAGGTAGCCGCCCATCCTTCTTTGGGCCCTTCTAGGAGTCTGCAGGGCCAGCCCTGGGTTGGAATGTGGTGCTTCCTTCACCAGCCCTCAGATCAGATAAATCTGGGGTGGTGGTGGTGGTGAGTTGAACATCAAATAGCTTTTTGTCTGGAATGTCTCGGGAGACTATCTCCTCCAGAGTGGGAGAGCAGGGTACGGATGAAGCAAAAAGGCAGAGATGCCTCAGCAAAACTTTGAAAAACCAATCCTTTGGAAGACAGAAACAATCCAGCCAGTTTGACAGGAACTGCTCTGTGCAGTTAAGAGTTTAGAGTAGAAATGGTAGGCCAGCGATTTAGCTCAGTGGCACCATGCCTGCCTCAAAAGCACAAGGTCCTGAGTTTGATCCCCAGTACCAAAAAGAAAAGGTGAAAAAAATGGTAGGACTAGGGCTGTAGCTTCTCAAACCCAGAACATACAAAATCCTGGGTTCAATTCCCCAGCAGTTTAGAGATGGTAATAATATGAGAGTCAAAGGATTAGGAAGAGTCGAAGGATTAGGAAGGTCCTGAAGAAGGACCCCATCCTAGGAGGGACTATAGGTTGCCCTGGATTCTACATACACAGTGACTTTCATTAGGGTTTCTAATTCAAACCAGCAGTGATCCAGCTATTTACCCTTGATCCTACTGACTACAGAGCTAAAAATGAGTTGTTTATTCATTTAATTCAGCAAATACCTATTAGATCCCAGTCTGGAAAAAGTATTTTATTAGGTGCTGGGCCTTCAAAGACAGAAATGACTCCTCCCCTCCAAGATCTCATAGTTTAGAGGCAGCCCGTGTGGTGGCACACGCCTATAATCCCACCACTTGGGAGGCTGCAGCCTGGGCTAGTAGTGAGTTCAAGGTCAACCTGGACTACACAGCAAGACCTTGTCTTAAAAAAAAAAGCCATATATCAATAAGCAATCAGAAAATTATGTGTCATACTAGGGATATGAATAAGAACTATACAAGTAGAAAGATCATATAAGCTAATTATGCCTAAGATGTAGAAGATAAGGGAAGAAAGGTGCCAAAGAGGGCTTCAGAAAAAAAGGGTATTTAAATCTCACAGGTAAACAATGATTTTAAGAGGTGGGTGGTTGTTCTAAGCAAAAAGAATGGCAAGAAGTAAGGCACAAAAATGCAAGAGCAAAGCATGTGTGTTTGGGGAGTTAAGGGGGGAAGGAAATAATATGGGATATGAGAAAGAAAATCACCATACAGATAGACTGGGACCAGATTAGAAAGGTTTTCAATTCTAAACCAAGGAGCTTAGAATTGTCCTAAAAGTAAAAGATTTTAGGCAGGGACTTTGGAGGAATATAAAAAATGGATAGGCCTTGAGATTTATGCTTGCCTCAGAAGCACAAGGTTCTGAGTTCAATCCCTGATTAAAAAATAAAAGGATAGCTGGGTCTTAAGGAGATCAGTTACCAGACCTGAGCAATAACCATTGTTCTGGGACAGTGGGAAAACACACAGATGAAGCCAGGCATGCTCCCAGCTACTCAGAAGGTGAAGGCGGGAAGATTGAGCCCTGGAGTTCAGACCAGCCTGGGTTTGCTCTTTTTGAGGGAATCTCATAAAATAGACAAAAATTTTGAGATACATTTTATAGGTAGTATCAAAGGACTGGTAATCAAAATGAATATTGATAGGTAAGACAGAACTGAAAGATGATTCTGAGGTTTTAAGCATAAATGATCAAGGGCCAGGCAATATCATTGAGATGTGGAACACAAAGGATTATTTCCCTTCTCACATGCCCCCCCCTTGTTCTTTTTATTGGGGATTGAACCCAGGGCCTTCCCATGGCTATACCCCCATTTTTAAAATTTTTGATTTGCTAAACTGCCTAGGCTGGTATTGAATGTGGGATCCTTCTGCCTCAAGCCTCCCAAAGGCTGGGATTACAAGCATGTGCTATTACCCTGTTTAGCTTTTTACTCTCGATTTAACTTAGTAACCCATACATAGTAAAGGCTAAAAAATGTTATGTAAATGAAAGGATGACACAATGATCATGAGTTCATTATAGGCTGCACACAGAAAAACCACAAACACACACCTCAAAACAGACAAGTAAATTCCAAATAAAATCAAATCTTAAAACGTGTTGATGGTGGGCTGGGGATTTAGTTCAGTGGTGCTGCTGCCTACTTTCCAAGTGCAAGGTCCTGAGTTTGATCCCAGTACCAAAAAAAAAAAAAAAAAAAAAAGAGTATTGATGGAGTTGGGCATGGTGGTGCACGCCTGTAATCCCCCATTTGGGAGGCTGACGCAGGAGGATCGCCACAAATTCGAGGCCAGCCTGTAATACATAGTGAGGCCCTGTCTCAAAAAACTAAATAAAATTTAAAATAGGGCTGGGGATTTAGCTCAGTGGTCCTGCTGCCTGCATCGCAAGAACAAGGTCTCAAGTTCGATCTCTGGTACCAAAATAAATAAATAAATAAATAACAAAATAAAATGTTACATTGCTGATGGATGTATAAGAATATCAAGGGCCTGGGATTTAGCTTAGTGGTGCTGCCACCTGCCTTGCAAGCATAAGGTCCCGAGTTCAATCCCCGGTACCAAAAAAAAAAGAATATCAAATGGCCAGGGATTTAGCTCAGTGGCACCTGCCTCACAAGCGCAAGGTCCCAAGTTCGGTCACCAGCACACACACAAAAAAAAAAAGGAAAGAAATGTGAAACCATAGCCAGATGAAAAATGAAGAAAGCTGGGGCCAGGGATTTAGCTCAGTGGTTCTGCCACCTGCCTTGCAAGCACAAAGTCCTGAGTTTGATCCCTGGCACAAGAAAAAAAAAAAAAAAAAGAAGAAGAAAGCTGTCAATATTAACTTAAACTCAGAAGGGGCTAGAATTCAGACTTAATGTTCGCTGTCGTCTAGTATTAACTATAAAATATGTTGGGGCTAGAACTGGGCTTCTAAATATCATTTTCCAATAAAAGAAACTAAAGACTCCTTAGAAAAATCATCAACCCCAGGGCTGGGGCAGGGAAAATACAAGATGAACCAGAAACATCTTGCATATCAGAAAGCAAGAAAGTAGCTGGGCATGGTGGCACTTGACTGAAATCCTAGCTACTTGGAAGGCTGAGGCTAGATTACAAATTCAAAGCCTGCCTAGGTAACTTAGTGAAGTTCTGTATTTGTCCCAGAGGAGGCGGGGGAAACATGACAAGTGTAGGACATGCAGTGTGGTACCCTGGTAGAAATTATCCTGGAAGAGAAAGAGATCATAAATGGATATAAAAGGCTGAGGATGTAGCTGAAGTAGTAGAGTGACCTTGTGTTCAATCCCCAGGACCACAAGAGTACAACGAAGTGCTCAAAAAACAAAAGCAAGAGCCGGGCGTGATGGTGCACACCTGCAATCCCAGCACTCTGGAGGCTGAGGCAGGAGGATCGCCACAAATCTGAGGTCAGCCTGCACTGCATAAAAATAAAAACAGGACTGGGGATTGTAGTTCATTAGTGCCTCGCATGCCTGGCAAGCATAAGGTGGTCCAGAGTTCAATCCCCGTATCAAAATAATAACAATAATAAACCAATCAACCAAAAGGAAGCCAGGTGTAAAGGCACATGCTTGTAATTCCAGCGCTCAGGATGCTGAGGCAGGAGGTTAATTTTGAGGCCAGTCTGGATTATTGAGACACACACACACACACACACAAAGATACATATTATAAATATTAAAGGAATAGAGGAGTCAACCTAAAAGAGTCCCAATATCCAAAACTGGTGAGAATTTGAGTGATAATATATTAAGATTATAACACAAGTATAAAATAAATATTAATACA